ACCTGCAAATCCCACTAAGGGGGTCGGACTCTTCTTAACTGCTCCTTGGTCCATCATAATGCTAGGTAAGTAGTGAGAGACAGAATGTTGGTAGATGCGCCTCCATCCACCAACACTCTTCTAACCACGACGTGATCAATTAGAGGAGCAATCACAAGTGCGTCATTATGGGGCAAGTGGACCCCCTCCAGGTCAGTATCGTCAAAGGTAATGGAGCAGGTCGGTCTCTGCTCCCTGATGATGCACACCTCGCGCTTGGCTGCGCGGGCTAGCTCTTTTCTTTTATTTCCGGATTGGCCTCCACTTGGTCCTCCGAAAATAGTGTTAATAACCGCAGGTCGGTCATTTCGACGAGGTGGCGTCCTTGAACGCTTCATCTCCTCTTTCTTCTCTACCGAGTTGGACCTCGGCTTCCCAACAAATTTTTTGAAGTAGCCATCTTGAATGAGGTCTTGAATCTGGCGCTTCAATTCCCGACAGTTTGACGTATTATGGCCGTGCTCACGATGGAAACGGCAATATTTGTCTTTATTGCGCCTCTCCGGGTTTCCTCTAAGCTTCTGGAAGGCGCGCGCTGTCGGTAAGCGCGATCTGAAAGGTGCGGCATTTGATTGCATCTGTTGCTGCTTGAAAGTCCATGAGGCCTTCGAAGACCTCGACATAGTACTTTGGGTCCTTAGACCCATCATAAGGTTTCACGGTGGGAGTTTTGAACTTCGGAGGAATTGGTGCCTCCAAAAYGTCCGAGGTGAATGACGATTCTCCCAAGTCGCCATCATCGAATGGACTTTCTTTCTTCTCACACTTGGCCTTCAAGGCCTCAACCTGAGCATCAAACTTGCTCTTTAGCTGGTCGAACTCCTCCCTCGTGATCACTCCCTCAGGGGTTATCTGATTGTAGGAGGATTCTGCCTGCTGATTGGAATTCCTATGTGAGCAGGACGGAGATTGTCCCTTTTGAAGGGACGAGCTTCTCTTTCTGTTAAGATGCTCGCGGAGATCACCCCTCTGGTGAGTATACTCCTCTTCCTCGCCTCCTTCAGGGTGCTCTTCCTCAACTGGACCGAGGTGACGACCCCTCTGCTCACGTATGTCATCGCGTGCCACCCAGTTTTCAGACCGAGACCCTGCGCTCGCAGCTTGCACCATCTCGTTGTACATCTCTTCCATGGTGCGCATCTGAGTGCGCATTGCCTCCATTTCTTTCTGGAGTGCGTCAAAATTCTCCCTTGTTAGAGCTGGGGCTGGTCCTCGGGTGTTTCTCTTCGAAGCCCCACCTCGGCCACGATTGGCCTTGGATGGCTTTGGATGTGCTGGTGGCAGAACGGACGTGGTG